CCATCGGTCCCCCCCTTCCCCCCACTTCCCCCGCGTGCCCCCCCACTCCAGCCACGCTTGATGAAAGCCAGAGGGAGATTTCTTTCTTTTTTTTTTGTCTTTAACAAACCACGACGCCCAGCCCTCCAGTCTACTGCACTGTAATGTCCATCACACAACAAGCCGCCGCCCACCTCCATATATGGCACACAATTCATTGTGCTTCCTAGTCATCAGCCAATCGCAATGCTCAAAGGTTACACCAAAGTCCAGAGGTGATTCTACGGCTATCGCATGAAAAAACGAACCTCACGATGGGATGATTTTGTCAAAGTAGAACTAAAATAAAAATATATTACATTTAATTATTTATAAAGCAATTATATTGAAATAAAGTGTACATTTATATGAAAAAGTAGCTTTCTTGCCACTACGATAGTGTAAAAACCAGAATTGTGTAAATAATTATTTTAAAATGATTCATAGAAATATACAAATATATGTTTTCTTTATCTATCCCTGATTATTTGAGGCTAAACTGTGTTATTGACACTTTGTTCTTCTTCAGTGGTCAGAAAATTCAAACTGCGTTGATAGCACCCCCTGTATGGGAAGCAGAGGGAGCTACAGGCGCTACAGGAGTGCACAGGTGCCGGTCCGTCCGTCCGTCCGTCGTCGTCATCGTCTCCGTGCGTTTATGTTAAAGTCTGTGACATGAGGCCTGTTTGTTGTTGACACTTCTCATCATCTTAGTTTGACGCAACGTAAAAAAAAAAGTACAACAGCTAAGATTTTGTTTACGCCGATGTCCAGATATGATTTTTTTGTATTTGTGCTTTTCATGCAATTTCAGTTGACAGTGACTTTAATACTGACGTGGAAATTTGAATGAATCGCAATCTTTTCTATTTTCTTTAAATTATTGGTTTCCATCTGTGAATTCTTACACCCACAAAAAAAGATCCAAAACAATTTAAAGATTGAAAATCTTATCTAAATAACGAAACCATTAAAGACATTAAGGAGACGACGTTTCAGACGACCGACCAAAACATTAACCTTTAAAAAAAACAACAACAAAAAAAAGTCAATTTTTTAAACACAAACATTTTTTTGATTGGCTGATTCAATAACAACATGTTGCTGTGATTATGTGTAAGTGTTTAGTAACTGACAAACACAGTGATGTGGGGGGAGGGGGGAGCGCGTCGGGGTCTGATCAATTAACATGAAGACTAATTAACTGGTCATTGTGTGAAGAGAAAGTGTTGAATATTTAAAAATTGCCAAAACCGTGTGCTTCAAAACAGTGGTTCTCAAACTGCGGTACACGCACCACAGTTTGAGAACCACTGCTTTAACAGAGTTGTGATGAGGAGTTGGTCAAATATATTAATCAGAGTGAAAACATATTTTTTTGACAGCGTAATTACCAGATTGACAAATAATAAAGTATTTCCAGTTAAATTAATTAAATGATTTAAATTTAATTTAAAATTAATTATTAATATTTCAATTAATTAAAGTCAGGTTGTTTTTTGTTTTTTTTTAAATAATGAATAATGAGGTTTTTTTTCCATTCCTCTTTTTGACCGACTGTGAGTAGAAACTCAGACTGACATTTTAACATTCTGCCGTCTTCACCTTTGCAGTGATTTATTTTTAATTTTAAGGTTAAATCAAAATCAGAAATAAGAAGCCCCTTCAGCAGG